AAAAAAAAAAAAAAAAAAAAAAAAAAAAAAAAAAAAGCAAGCAAGCATTAGGCAAACCATGATTGATATACCTTTCTCGGCCTTTTGGCTAAGATCAAGTGTAGTATCTGTTCTGATCAGTTTTTTAATATCTGATCTGGGGTCCATCGGGCCACAACGATATTAAATTAAAAAAAAAATTAAAAAAAAATGATTGATTCATTTGATTAGAACAACAGCAGTTCTAGTATCAAATTGTAAACAACTGCCAATGCCATCTTTTAGGTATATAGGGTTTAGTTTTTTTTTTTTTTTTTTTTTTTTTGCACTACTACAACTTTAAAAGCAAATTCTTAGCGTTGCGACCCATTCGTGCTTGTCTCAAAGACACTAGAATCTATTCTAGTGTCAACTAGAGTAGTAGCTCTTTGTTTTGTGCAAGGATGGAAGAAGGAACAAATGGGCGAGAGAAAACATATTTGGAACACCAACGGTTGCAATCAATCAGTCTGAGATGATTAGAGTCATATTACTCTGAATTGGGCTCTGAATTGGGCTCTGAATTGAGGTCTGAATCGGGGTCTGAACTGGGGTCTGAATTGGGGTAATTGCAGAAATAGCGAATTTTCGAAGATTTGATTCGCAGTCGGAGATGTTGTTACGGGTCCGAAAGTTTTTTTTTTTTTTTTTTTTTTTTTTTTTTTGCAAGGAAAGTGAGTGGGACCCCCCCTGCAAATATTAATTTTTGCGATCTGTGAAAGCATTGGGTCCTCTAAGGCTGCAACGAAATATATATTTTTGCAACGAAACTTGGGCCCCGCCTATATTTTTGGTTACCCTTCTGAATTACCTGAGACCAGTCCGTTCAACGATGATATCTCAAGGCTGTCGACCTTTTGTGTTGAAAACAATGAAAAAGAAGCAATTACCCCAATTCAGACCCCGATTCAGACCCCAATTCAGACCCCAATTCAAGCGCTGGAGAACGATCCTGCTTATTTTGCTTATTGTAGGAATTTAAAGGAGAACAGCAAAATAAGCAAGGTAGACATTACAACAGCTGCAAAACGACAATTACACAGATCGTCGCACAGAGACCATCAGAACGTGAGATGATCTCCGCTGCACTTCGCTGCACTTGAGCACCCATCTCTTCAGGACACCAAGTTGGGGCAGTCTGAATATTTTTGGAATCAAGAGGAAGGCGAGATGCGCCGAGATCCACAGCAGCTGTTGGGGTGATTGCCATCTTGACTCCGGCACACGGCTAACTGTTATATCTCATTGGGAGATACGGCTAACTGTTATATCTCATTGGGAGATATGGTTTTGGGGGGGTGGGAAGGTGTAAGAGGGGGTAGGAGGGTGGAGGGACTGATGAAGGGTTGGCGATGGGCCACACACACCAAACGACGACTAACGGCGAAGTTTGTGAGATCTCGTGAAGTTGACTTTCAGGTCCTGCGAAGTTGAAAGGCAGCGTACTACAGTAGTACGGTCCGGTCGTCCCCCGAATACAACGCACGGTCATAATACTTACTGCTGTATTTAGACTGAAGGATAGACCAAACTCAGCTAGAATGTCCGTACGCTGTATTCGGGGGCCTGGTGCCATTAGCATAAAGGATTGGATTTAAATTGTGAATCTGGATGAGTTTTCAGCAGACATGCAGAAACGCAGATCAATTGCAACTTTCTGCATCTCTCCACAAAACACGTCTAGATACCGGAATTAAATCCGATCCTCTTCGCTCATGGGACCAGGCTCCGGGGGAAGAGAAGGTAGGGCGCTTTCGCGAACGTGAAAATCTTGCTGCCTGCGTATTTGAAAAATCTGTACCGCTAATTTAAAATAGTTGTTGTCACTTGAGGCAAATTCAGACGAGGAGGAGGGCGAAAAATGCGGCAGCGGCCGGCGGATGGCTGCGATATTCGATATTTGTACCACATTGTTTGTTTGTTTTTTTTTTTTTTCACATTTGTTTTTGCTAGCTTTCAGTTTCTCTGAAGTTGGTTGATAGGATGCGTAGTGGGACGCAATATGGCGAACGTGAAATTTGCTTCCGCGAACATTAAATTTGCAGGTGAAATTTGCTTCCGCGAACGTTAAATTTGCACCGATTTGAGAAATCTTTATTTACTGTCTCTGCTAATTTCAGTAATCTTTCGCTCTTGAGAGCCAGGTGCAGACGAGGAGCGCGAGCGCGATATTGATACCGTTACCGTAGGATGGTGAACCTATATCTCTCCGATCCGTGACTTGCTGGGTCGAACGAAGTATCAACATTTTTCTGGATGTAGTTCAGAAATCGGGCTAGATTCAGGCTCATACAAATAAGAAAGAAAGAAACCCGTACAGACGCGGCAGGGTCTGAGTTGAACTTCGCAGGTGACCAAAAAAGAAAAAACAAAAAAAAGCACTAAATTGCACACAGCCCCTCGTAACAGCAATTTCAGTCGAAATACATCTGTTGGCCCTTTTTTTCTTTTTCAGCCAACTGCGCAGCAAACGAAAATCAGTTCGGTTCTTCAATGGGCTACGTATAGAGGCCTTACACTAGGGCTTTTCCCTATTAAAAAAAAAAAAAAAAAAAAAAAAAAGGAGCTACGTACCAACGGGTCACGCACGTGCCGAGTTTAGAAAAGCCAAAAAAGTTGAAAAAACACACGTGGCACTTTAAAATAAGCGTGGATATCATAACTACAGGGGCGGCCCGTGGTCTGCGGAGCGGCTGAGTTCAAGAATAGCCCAAAAAAATCATACCGGTCTTGTGTGCTATTTTTGCTTGCTTCGAATTGGTGCGACAAAACTACATTTACTGTTTGTTTTGTCTACTCAAAACTAAAACCATGACTCAGGTGTAGTTGTCTCCTTCTTTTTTTTTTTTTTTTTTTTTTTTTTTTTTTCCCCTTCCCGTCTGGCACCACGGCCGGACGATTTAGTTATGACACTTGAGCTGTGCCTCTGTCGGGATTTTTTGATTGCTTTTGTGAACTGGGCGCCGGGTGTTTGTTTTGTCTGAGTAAGTTCTCTTTGCCGATTCGAAACTCTGTTGTGACATCAACGTAATTGCCCCAAAAACAAAAAGTATTTTAGAGTCTGGTACAGTCATGAGGCTGTCTCTTATACACATCTAGATGTGTATAAGA